TGTCTGTATTATTGTCTGTGTGTGGTTGACGGAGTGTGTTGTTGTCTGTGTGTGGTTGATGGCATGTGTTGTTGTCTGTGTGTGGTTGACGGAGTGTGTTGTTGTCTGTGTTGTTGTTTATGTGTGGTTGACGGCGTGTGTTGTTGTCTGTGTGTGATTGACGGAGTGTGTTGTTGTCTGTCTGTGGTTGATGGCGTGTGTTGTTATCTGTGTGTGGTTGACGGAGTGTGTTGTTATCTGTGTGTGGTTGACGGAGTGTGTTGTTGTCTGTGTGTGATTGACGGAGTGTGTTGTTGTCTGTGTGTGGTTTACGGTGTGTGTTGTTGTCTGTGTTGTTGTCTGTGTGTGGTTGACGGAGTGTGTTGTCTGTGTGTGATTGACGGAGTGTGTTGTTGTCTGTGTGTGGTTGACGGAGTGTGTTGTTGTCTGTGTGTGGTTGACGGAGTGTGTTGTTGTCTGTGTTGTTGTCTGTGTGTGGTTTACGGCATGTGTTGTTGTCTGTATTGTTGTCTGTGTGTGTTTGACGGAGTGTGTTGTTGTCTGTGTGTGGTTGATGGCGTGTGTTGTTGTCTGTGTGTGGTTGACGGAGTGTGTTGTTGTCTGTGTGTGGTTGACGGTGTGTGTTGTTGTCTGTGTTGTTGTCTTTGTGTGGTTGACGGAGTGTGTTGTTGTCTGTGTGTGGTTGATGGCGTGTGTTGTTGTCTGTGTGTGGTTAACGGAGTGTGTTGTTGTTGTTTGTGTTTGGTTGACGGAGTGTGTTGTTGTCTGTGTTGTTGTCTGTGTGTGGTTTACGGTGTGTGTTGTTGTCTGTGTTGTTGTCTGTGTGTGGTTGACGGAGTGTGTTGTTGTCTGTGTGTGGTTGACGGAGTGTGTTGTTGTCTGTGTTGTTGTCTTTGTGTGGTTGACGGAGTGTGTTGTTGTCTGTGTGGTTGATGGCGTGTGTTGTTGTCTGTGTGTGGTTGACGGAGTGTATTGTTGTTTGTGTGTGGTTGACAGAGTGTGTTGTTGTTTGTGTGTATTTGACGGAGTGTGTTGTTGTCTGTGTTGTTGTCTGTGTGTGGTTTACGGAGTGTGTTGTCTGTGTTGTCTGTGTGTGGTTTACGGCATGTGTTGTTGTCTGTATTATTGTCTGTGTGTGGTTTACGGCATGTGTTGTTGTCTGTGTGTGATTGACGGAGTGTGTTGTTGTCTGTGTGTGGTTGATGGCGTGTGTTGTTATCTGTGTGTGGTTGACGGAGTGTGTTGTTGTCTGTGTGTGATTTACGGAGTGTGTTGTTGTCTGTGTGTGGTTTACGGTGTGTGTTGTTGTCTGTGTTGTTGTCTGTGTGTGGTTGACGGAGTGTGTTGTTGTCTGTGTTGTTTTTGTGTGGTTGACGGAGTGTGTTGTTGTCTGTGTGTGGTTGATGGCTTGTGTTGTCGTCTGTGTGTGGTTGATGGAGTGTGTTGTTGTCTGTGTGTGGTTGACGGAGTGTGTTGTTGTTTGTGTTTGGTTGACGGAGTGTGTTGTTGTCTGTGTTTTTGTCTGTGTGTGGTTTACGGTGTGTGTTGTTGTCTGTGTTGTTGTCTGTGTGTGGTTGACGGAGTGTGTTGTTGTCTGTGTTGTTGTCTCTGTGTGGTTTACGGTGTGTGTTGTTGTCTGTGTTGTTGTCTGTGTGTGGTTTACGGTGTGTGTTGTTGTCTGTGTTATTGTCTGTGTGTGGTTAACGGAGTGTGTTGTTGTCTGTGTGTGGTTGACGGAGTGTGTTGTTGTCTGTGTTGTTGTCTTTGTGTGGTTGACGGAGTGTGTTGTTGTCTGTGTGTGGTTGATGGCGTGTGTTATTGTCTGTGTTGTTGTCTGTGTGTGGTTGACGGAGTGTGTTGTTGTCTGTGTGTGGTTGATGGCGTGTGTTGTTGTCTGTGTGTGGTTGACGGATTGTCTTGTTGTCTTTGTGCGGTTGATGGCGTGTGTTGTTGTCTGTGCGTGGTTGACGGAGTGTGTTGTTGTCTGTGTTGTTGTCTGTGTGTGGTTTACGGTGTGTGTTGTTGTCTGTGTTGTTGTCTGTGTGTGTTTTACGGCATGTGTTGTTGTCTGTGTGTGATTGACGGAGTGTGTTGTTGTCTGTGTTGTTGTCTTTCTGTGGTTTACGGCATGTGTTGTTGTCTGTGTGTGATTGACGGAGTGTGTTGTTGTCTGTGTGTGGTTGATGGCGTGTGTTGTTATCTGTGTGTGGTTGACGGAGTGTGTTGTTATCTGTGTGTGGTTGACGGAGTGTGTTGTTGTCTGTGTGTGATTGACGGAGTGTGTTGTTGTCTGTGTGTGGTTGACGGAGTGTGTTGTTGTCTGTGTTGTTGTCTGTGTGTGGTTTACGGCACGTGTTGTTGTCTGTATTGTTGTCTGTGTGTGGTTGACGGAGTGTGTTGTTGTCTGTGTGTGGTTGACGGCGTGTGTTGTTGTCTGTGTGTGGTTGACGGAGTGTGTTGTTGTCTGTGTGTGGTTGACGGAGTGTGTTGTTGTCTGTGTTGTTGTCTTTGTGTGGTTGACGGAGTGTGTTGTTGTCTGTGTGTGGTTGATGGCGTGTGTTGTTGTCTGTGTGTGGTTGACGGAGTGTGTTGTTGTTTGTGTTTGGTTGACGGAGTGTGTTGTTGTTTGTGTTTGGTTGACGGAGTGTGTTGTTGTCTGTGTGTGGTTGACGGAGTGTGTTGTTGTTTGTGTTTGGTTGACGGAGTGTGTTGTTGTCTGTGTTGTTGTCTGTGTGTGGTTGACGGAGTGTGTTGTTGTCTGTGTGTGGTTGACGGAGTGTGTTGTTGTCTGTGTTGTTGTCTGTGTGTGGTTTACGGTGTGTGTTGTCTGTGTTGTTGTCTGTGTGTGGTTGACGGAGTGTGTTGTTGTCTGTGTTGTTGTTTTTGTGTGGTTGACGGAGTGTGTTGTTGTCTGTGTGTGGTTGATGGCGTGTGTTGTCGTCTGTGTGTGGTTGATGGAGTGTGTTGTTGTCTGTGTGTGGTTGACGGAGTGTGTTGTTGTCTGTGTGTGGTTGATGGAGTGTGTTGTTGTTTGTGTTTGGTTGACGGAGTGTGTTGTTGTCTGTGTTGTTGTCTGTGTGTGGTTTACGGTGTGTGTTGTTGTCTGTGTTGTTGTCTGTGTGTGGTTGACGGAGTGTGTTGTTGTCTGTGTTGTTGTCTGTGTGTGGTTTACGGTGTGTGTTGTTGTCTGTGTTGTTGTCTGTGTGTGGTTAACGGAGTGTGTTGTTGTCTGTGTGTGGTTGACGGAGTGTGTTGTTGTCTGTGTTGTTGTCTTTTTGTGGTTGACGGAGTGTGTTGTTGTCTGTGTGTGGTTGATGGCGTGTGTTATTGTCTGTGTTGTTGTCTGTGTGTGGTTGACGGAGTGTGTTGTCTGTGTGTGGTTGATGGTGTGTGTTGTTGTCTGTGTGGTTGACGGATTGTCTTGTTGTCTGTGTGTGGTTGATGGCGTGTGTTGTTGTCTTTGTGTGGTTGACGGAGTATGTTGTTGTTTGTGTGCGGTTGATGGCGTGTGTTGTTGTCTGTGTGTGGTTGACGGAGTGTGTTGTTGTCTGTGTTGTTGTCTGTGTGTGGTTTACGGTGTGTGTTGTTGTCTGTGTTGTTGTCTGCGTGTGTTTTACGGCATGTGTTGTTGTCTGTATGTGATTGACGGAGTGTGTTGTTGTCTGTGTTGTTGTCTTTGTGTGGTTTACGGCATGTGTTGTTGTCTGTGTGTGATTGACGGAGTGTGTTGTTGTCTGTGTGTGGTTGATGGCGTGTGTTGTTATCTGTGTGTGGTTGACGGAGTGTGTTGTTATCTTTGTGTGGTTGACGGAGTGTGTTGTTGTTTGTGTGTGATTGACGGAGTGTGTTGTTGTCTGTGTGTGGTTGACGGAGTGTGTTGTTGTCTGTGTTGTTGTCTGTGTGTGGTTTACGGCACGTGTTGTTGTCTGTATTGTTGTCTGTGTGTGGTTGACGGAGTGTGTTGTTGTCTGTGTGTGGTTGATGGCGTGTGTTGTTGTCTGTGTGTGGTTGACGGAGTGTGTTGTTGTCTGTGTGTGGTTGACGGAGTGTGTTGTTGTCTGTGTTGTTGTCTGTGTGTGGTTTACGGTGTGTGTTGTTGTCTGTGTGTGGTTGACGGAGTGTGTTGTTGTCTCTGTTGTTGTCTTTGTGTGGTTGACGGAGTGTGTTGTTGTCTGTGTGTGGTTGATGGCGTGTGTTGTTGTCTGTGTGTGGTTGACGGAGTGTGTTGTTGTTTGTGTTTGGTTGACGGAGTCTGTTGTTGTTTGTGTTTGGTTGACGGAGTGTGTTGTTGTCTGTGTGTGGTTGACGGAGTGTGTTGTTGTTTGTGTTTGGTTGACGGAGTGTGTTGTTGTCTGTGTTGTTGTCTGTGTGTGGTTGACGGAGTGTGTTGTTGTCTGTGTGTGGTTGACGGAGTGTGTTGTTGTTTGTGTTTGGTTGACGGAGTGTGTTGTTGTCTGTGTTGTTGTCTGTGTGTGGTTTACGGTGTGTGTTGTTGTCTGTGTTGTTGTCTGTGTGTGGTTGACGGATTGTGTTGTTGTCTGTGTTGTTGTCTGTGTGTGGTTTACGGTGTGTGTTGTTGTCTGTGTTGTTGTCTGTGTGTGGTTGACGGAGTGTGTTGTTGTCTGTGTGTGGTTGACGGAGTGTGTTGTTGTCTTTGTGTGGTTGACGGAGTGTGTTGTTGTCTCTGTGTGGTTGATGGTGTGTGTTGTTGTCTGTGTGTGGTTGACGGAGTGTGTTGTTGTTTGTGTGTGGTTGATGGAGTGTGTTGTTGTTTGTGTGTGGTTGACGGAGTGTGTTGTTGTCTGTGTTGTTGTCTGTGTGTGGTTTACGGCGTGTGTTGTTGTCTGTGTGTGGTTGATGGAGTGTGTTGTTGTCTGTGTGTGGTTGACGGAGTGTGTTGTCTGTGTTGTCTGTGTGTGGTTTACGGCATGTGTTGTTGTCTGTATTATTGTCTGTGTGTGGTTGACGGAGTGTGTTGTTGTCTGTGTGTGGTTGATGGCATGTGTTGTTGTCTGTGTTGTTCATGTGTGGTTGACGGCGTGTGTTGTTGTCTGTGTTGTTGTCTGTGTGTGGTTGATGGCGTGTGTTGTTGTCTGTGTGTGATTGACCGTGTCTGTTGTAGTGGGGGAGGCCGCGGATCACGAATTGCCGGGCTGCGCGATTTGCAGCAGCAGCAGGACGACGATAGTGACGAGGAGGAGGGACAGAGGTGACTCCACATCCACCAATAAGTGTCCACTCTACTTCATCGACATATTTCACTTGGATAATCCCTTGGGAGCACCTCACTTGTGTAGTGAGTCCAACTGAGTCGCAGACGTTATCTTGGGAGCAACACTATTACATCAACTCAACACAACATAACGTAACCTACACTTGGGTGTTGAACGCCCATCTAACCACGCTACGGCATAACTGGACATGGTCCCGCTATCCCAGTCCGTACCACGAGCTGGGTCCCAGACCACGTGGCGAGAGGCTTCTTCAACCCGACGTGGATCTTCTTCACCAACAACCCAAAGAACCCCGAGCCCCTCACCGGGCCCCCGTTATATCGGCCTGGGCTGGGGCTGGCTCCGCCCCTCGCCCCGCCCACCTTCTAGATCTCTCGAGCTCTTTCCCGAAGGCTCCCGAGAGCTCCTCTATACCACGTGACCGCCCAGCAGCCCCCGTCCACTAGTGGCCCCCCTCCAATATCATCCGGTTACGTTTCGGCAGGTCAACCAGCATATCATGCCCCAATGTAACCTTGGCTGGCTGACACTCCCTCTCGCTCCCTCACCGGGAGCCCGCACCGCACACTGTACGTGGTGCTTCTGCGCTAACCAGCGCTCACCCAAGCCCCGCTAGGGCTGGTACTACGCTCAGTAACCGGGCTGCACATAATGACAACATATTATCCGCCGTGGCCTCGCAAGGCCGACTCCACATAGTGACATTCACAGTCACTACACTTGCAAGGGTGTCCTGGGTGTCAAGTGACACCACGCTAATGACACATCTGCAAACGTTTCAAATTGAACAAAAAGTCGGAGGGATTTTCTGCTCCAATGGGCATTGAAGCGGTGCTCATCTCCCGTTTACAGTCCTGAACCGGTGGTGGAAATTCCACATTCCTATGGTGTTGGCAAGTGATCCAATAGATAATCATTGTTGATTTGCCCACTAAGTGATCACGGAATCTTTAACGTCTACCGTGAAGGAGACGGCACCTGGCGTTTTGCGATTAATGCACCCATATAATTTACCGGAGCAGCCTGCCAAAATTCGAACCTCGAACCCCCAGCGCTCCCACGCCCTCTGGCCCCACCACGCCGGGCAGCAGCCGAACCGGAACCCAGGAGCCTGCCGCTTTTGTTGGTGCCAGGTTTTACGCCGGCGGGTCGGAGCACAGTGGGCAGCAGATCGTGGGGCCGCCCCGCAAGCGGAACCCCAACGAGATCGTGGAGAACCTCTTCAAGGAGGCGAAGGAGCATGGCGCGGTGCCCGTGGACAGCGCCGCGCGGGGCGGTGAGCCCAGCGGCTCCCGGGTGAGGGGGGCCGCCGTGCACCACTCTCACACGCGGGGCGCGGGCGACCAAAGGGTTGGCCAAGAGTCCGCTGGAACGTCACTGATCGTTAATTTCATGGGTCTGTTGTTTCTCCTCTAGCTCATCCCACGACCCCTTAATCTCCTACCCCTTCTAACCACTACCGTTCCTGTTCCTCTTTCATAATCCTTTCCCCATGGCTCAGTCCCCCATCCATTCAATCCGTTCGTCGTCATTCGCTCTCGTAAATTTTTCTTTTACGTAATTCACGTGTCACAGGTTAGCCCATTACTTCCTCTCATCTATTTTATGCAGCTCATCTTCACCATTACATGCACATGTGCCAATGTTAACTCTCTTGAAAGTGCCTTGGTCAAGGAGCTATATAACGTACAATAAGTTAAGATTGCAAAGACGTCACACGCCACGGCTTGTCATGGCGTATGACTTGGGGCCTACGCTGTTCTCGTATAGCTTCCCCTGCCTGAGGAGGCACGGAGATGTAGGAAGGGAAACTAGGTGACGCCCAAGGGGGTTATTAGGCTTCAAGTGCATTTATGTTTAAAATTAATACATTGAGAATAGGTTTTCCCATTTTTTCTGGCAACAAAACACCAAACTGAAACCTTTTACAAGGAATCATGTCTGCATTAACCACAATACTTGTGGTCAGAATGCAAAAAAACATACTCTGATAATATATCCATTTTCTTTGGTTCTTTCGGTAAAGTCACGTAGAATGAGAATAAAATAATAAATTGATAAAATAAAATAACACAATAAAATTCTCACGACGTTTCGGCCACAACACAAGCGGCCTTCATCAGGTGAAGGGACGAGACTGTCTGGAGGACAGCGCTGGAGCGAAAAAGCTACGCTCAAATCGCGACCTTTAAGCTGTGTGAGAAGAAACAAAGCGCCTTGACAAAGGAATTAGCATAGAATTTAGCATTGAAATAGCTGAGTGATTAGCTTGTGACTGGTCACAGAAATGGCTATGTTAAAGTTAAAGCATACACATCCACAGAGGCACCCCTTGACAAAGGAATTAGCATAGAATTTAGCATTGAAATAGCTGAGTGATTAGCTTGTGACTGGTCACAGAAATAGCTATGTTAAAGTCAGAGCATACGCATTCACAGAGGCACCTAGTACAAATCAAACAGGAGAATTTAGCATTGAAATAACTAGGAGAATTTAGCATTGAAATAACTGAGTGATTAGCTTGAGACTGGTCACAGAAATGGCTATGTTGAAGTCAAAGCCAACACATCTGAGCTATTCACAGTAACTGGGTATACACTACAATATATAATGAATACTATATAGTGAACCAATAAAAAACTAAAATATCAATTACCAAAATGTTATCAATAAACTCTATATATTCTCCAATCAGCTAAGCTACCAACAATAAGTCGTTATATATTACAATGCTATATGGCGAAAAAATGGGTGGATTCTTACCCTCAACTTTAGTAACACGGATAGCTACAGGCCCCGTTCAGACGGACGAGTTCATCCATGGTCGGAACAGAGGAGGGGGAGAGAGACAGCTGCGAGGCGCTGTTATACTCTATGTTGTAAACCATACCATTAACCGTGGTGTGAGAGGTATTAAGAGTCAATGCCAGCGAAAGAGCTGCGGTCTGAAGGTCATCTTAAAATACAATTAAGAACGGAAATGGTTTAAAACATCTTTCCAATGGTTACTAAGCCAGAATCCATCTTCTCGGTTGAAATTGTCTCTGTGCTTGTATATGTGAATGGCCTCATGAACGAATCTCTCATGGTAGCCGGTTGGTTTGCAAAGAACCTCCGTCTTGGAGAAGTCATTTTTTCGCCATATAGCATTGTAATATATAACGACATATTGTTGGTAGCTTAGCTGATTGGAGAATATATAGAGTTTATTGATAACATTGAGGTAATTTATATTTTAGTTTTTTATTGGTTCACTATATAGTATTCATTATATATTGTAGTGTATACCCAGTTACTGTGAATAGCTCAGATGTGTAGGCTTTGACTTCAACATAGCCATTTCTGTGACCAGTCACAAGCTAATCACTCAGTTATTTCAATGCTAAATTCTCCTAGTTATTTCAATGCTGAATTCTCCTGTTTGATTTGTACTAGGTGCCTCTGTGAATGTGTATGCTCTGACTTTAACATAGCTATTTCTGTGACCAGTCACAAGCTAATCACTCAGCTATTTCAATGCTAAATTATATGCTAATTCCTTTGTCAAGGGGTGCCCTGTGGATGTGTATGCTTTAACTTTAACATAGCCATTTCTGTGACCAGTCACAAGCTAATCACTCAGCTATTTCAATGCTAAATTCTATGCTAATTCCTTTGTCAAGGCGCTTTGTTTCTTCTCACACAGCTTAAAGGTCGCGATCTGAGCGTGGCTTTTTCGCTCCAGCGCTGTCCTCCAGACAGTCTCGTCCCTTCACCTGATGAAGGCCGCTTGTGTTTTAGCCGAAACGTCGTGATAATTTTATTGTGTTATTTTATTTTATCAATTTATTATTTTATTCTCATTCTACATGACTTTACCGAAAGAACCAAAGAAGATGAATCCTTGCATTCACGAAAGCTTTAAATCGAAATATATGCATTGTCTTTGAAACTAATTGGTCCACACCAGAGACAGCTTTCTTTTGAGCCTAGTCTCAAAACGGTGTTAGACCAGAGGACGCCAAAAAGAAAGCTGTCTCTGGTGTGGAGTAAACATTTCCCAGTATGTGGCCAGCTAATGCTGGCACGTGCTCGGTGCCGATGTGCTTTGGCTACTGTTGCTGCGCCACTGATCGCTTTGTTTGCCGTCCGATACAGGCTTTCTCTGGGGGCGGCTATCGTCTTGGGGCATCGGGCTCGGAGGAGTCGGCCTACGTGGCCGGGCAGAACCGTGCTGAGGCTGCGCAAGATGTGAGTGGGCGGCGCCTTCCCCACCCCCATCCCCGCTCTCCGCTGCGTTTCCACACCGCGGCGCGCAGCGAGGCGTGTGACCGTTTTGAAAATATCGAGCGTCACGTTAGAACCAGTTCTTCCGCCCGTCGGAATTGACTTCGGAAGCGATGGGCAATCTTGATTTGAAGCTTTCTTGACTGCAGGAACCCATACTCTTTAGTTCTTTCGGTAAAGTCACGTAGGGATAAAATAAAATAAATCGTGACGTTTTGGGCGCAACACAAGCGTCTTTCATCAGGTGGGAAAGCATGGCCTGCTGCTGAGGCAGATTGTTTTCAAAGGTTTGAAATGGGTGTAGCCCAAGGGTCATAAAGAAGTGGCCGGGGCTAGTGATGTTAATGTGAGATCAGCGATAGGCTAGCTGTGAACAAGATCCGTTTAGCGTTAGGAGAAGTGACAGCAGCAGATGTGAGTGTAATTGCCACCGGTATTACCTTGTTATCGCGGCATCTCTTGAGAAAAGTTAGCAACTCGATCAGGTGAGCCTTCTTGTCTCGCAGTCTGTGTGGAAACCCTCCCCGTAGAGGTGGTTCAATCTTGATTTGAAGTTTTCGTGATGGCAGACCATGCTTTCCCACCTGATGACGGACGCTTGTGTTGCACCCGAAACGTCGTGATTTACTTTATTATATACCTACGTGACTTTACCGAAAGAACCAAAGAGTAAGTGATGGGCACTCGTGGACATCTTGGCGAGCGTGAACTGCCATTTGCTCCCCACAGGTGAACGTGGTGCTCAAACTGTGGAAGAACGGATTTAGCATCGACAACGGAGACCTCCGTGACTACGGAGACCCCGCGAGCGCACAGTTCCTGAGCGCGATAAAGAGGGGGTACAGCTCTGCGCACACACGCACGTGCACGTTCAGATCGGCGTTGAGCGATACACTGCGTCTGTCCACTCGCACTGTACGATATACACAGTGCTGGAACCAGTTCACACTTTGTGTGTAGTATTAGGTGAGAACAAATTGTGAGATTGTGTTTCGCCTTCAAAGCGAGTCGTACATGAAACTTAGACAAAGAAGCTTATTTATACCGTTGTCATGAAGCAACCTACCAGATGTCATCTTGGTAACATGCACTGTCGATACCATCACATCAATTATGACCACCACAACCGTGTTGTCTCTGACCCCTAGGCGAATGCTCACATTGCAACTGTGGGGGTAACTGCGTGCATGGCTTCATCACCAGTCGTAGCTAGAGTCACCTCATTCCACTCGGTCTCCATAGACCCCAAAGGTCAAACAATGATTGAGTGGGAATATATAAAGAGGTTAAATGTTACCGAGTACAGATGTGTGATGCTCACAGATTTCGACTCTGCAAACCGCTTGCTATGGTCCAGGTGGCTTGTCAAGCAGCAACAGCAATAGCAGCAGTCCGGTTAATGAATTTTTAGTTGACGTACTAACTTTATTCACCGTGTTTTCCTGCACACAGCCAACCACCCCGTGATGTTCAATGCCCTCTTTATTTATGAGACATGTCTGGGCTCTTTGGTTAAACAAAGTCCCACACCCGTTCTCCACTGTCGGGGCACAGGGAGATCCCGCTGGAGCTGCGACGCATGGCCCGCGGAGGGCAAGTCAACTTGGACATGGAGGACCACAGGGATCTTGACTACGTGAAGCCCAAATCCAAGTTCAAAGCCTTTGGTGGAGAGGGCCAGAAGTTGGGGAGGTAAGCAACGCGGCGGCACGCGTGAGTCAGGGAGAGCAGCCGTGGGGGTGGCAGCGAGGCGCCCGCGTGGAAGCGTGCCAGGTCGGGGCGTCACGGAGATGGCTACGTGGGAACACGCGAGCCAGTGGGAGATGCAGCGGTCAAAGCTGGGCTCTTTTCCCTTAAATAAATATAAACATTTTTTTGTTATGAGGGCCCCATGGTACAAAGGCTTTTTTTGTGAGGAAGACAAAGACAGAGATGAGACTGTGGGTGTGTGTGTTGCTTGCGTACGTGTGTGCAGCGGTGGGGTGTGGTGAGTACGTTACGTTGCAAATCCGATGCCCACATTCGATTTCCAGGCAAATGTCAGCAGTGTGTACACATCAGCACTGGGGAGATTAAGGCAGCCAGGCATCATGCCGGCCAAACCAACTGCTCGTGCGTTGTGCCCGCCTTCATATGTGCTACTCGCTAGCAGCACTTGCCCCAGCGGTCTGTTCAAGGCTACACAGGGGATCTTTGTCTCTGTGTGTTGCAGCCCTACCCCGCACGTGGTGAACGCGCCAACGGGGGCGCAGCCCGTGGCTGCGACGGCAGCGGCGGCGGCCGACACGGAGAGCGACGCGCCGCTCGTGCAGGTGGATGAGACAGCACCCACCACCAGCCTACAGATCCGCCTGGCCGACGGGGGGCGGCTCCTGCAGAAGTTTAACCACACGCACAGGTGACCCCTCACCACGGATCGTGCTCGCACGTGTCCAGTGGTTCCCGTCTCCCGGTCTGTAACCCCTCGCCCACTCACCCACCCCCTGCCCCTGAACCCACGGAGTAGGCATTCTCAGCGGAGCCACGCAGGTAAGTCGTGACTGCCAGCACATGCTGCTGTGGGTTGAGGTTGCCCACGAGGCTCTCCTCTTGGTGGCTTCAAGTTGAGTTTGTGTGACCAGGTGAGGACTGCGGGACGTTGAAACGCGCACGCTTGCGTTTCCCCAGCCGTTCGTGGTGAATGTGCCGATTAGATTTGATCTTTTTTTCCTTTCTTTTTGTTTCGTATCGAATTGCACCCATTTGTTTTCGTTTTAAAAGCAGCGGCAATTGCTGGCCACGACAAAAAAAACGCATTTTGACATGAAAACGACGGGACGCGGCGATGTTGAACGGCGCGAGGGAAAGGTTCGTGTTTATTTGGTCCGCCGTTCTGATGCCACTCTGCGCCGACGCGCCGCAGGCTACGTGACGTGCGGCAGCTCATCGTGCAGTCGCGACCGGCCATGGCGGCGTCGCCCTTCGTGCTCATGACGACGTTCCCGAGTCGGGAGCTGACGGACGAGGAGCAGACGCTGGGGGAGGCGAACCTCCTCAACGCTGTCATCGTGCAGCGCATCAAGTGACTTCCGCACCTGCCACGTTGGGGGAGCACCGCATCGCTACGGGTGTGCCACGCCGTGCCGGGTGCCGTGTCCCGCGGACCGCAGTGGGCGCCCCCCCCCGTCAGCGTCGCACCGCCTCTCGGTGGCGCGGCGCGGCGCTACCATCGCTCGTCACCCAGCAGCATTCCGCGGCTTGGGTTCGCTTCACACAACAAGAAACCCTGTGCGGCCACTTAGGGCGCATGCGCACACACACAGCACACAGGTTGACGCGCACACACAGGTTACACACACACAGGTTGTTACACGCAGTCACAGTACACAGGTTGACACAGACCACACGTGTTGTTACACATAGTTGGACACGCAGGTTAACACACACAGCACATAGCTGGACGCACACAGACCTCAGGTTGTTACACAGACCACAGATTGTTAGACGTACACATCACAGAGGTAGACGCACGGAGCACACAGAGTTTGACACACACACCACACAAAGTGCGCCCTAATTATAAGCAGTGAAATGTGCCACGTTTTTGAGGATAGTTGGCTGTGAAAGGCCGACATGCTTCCAGATGCTCGCAGTTTCCATGTAGGCAGTGCAGTTGCATTGTGTAGCAATTGCCCACACACTTCACACACCAGCACCCTCCCATTACTTACCTGCATCTGGTTGCTTCTTTGGGTTAATGCTGAGTTAATAGTCGTAGATTCACAAAGGGAAGCATTTTTCTCTACCCAGTTTGAAAAAGCCTGGTTGTGCAATTTTGCGAAATCAGAAGGAAAAAAAACACTGGTATCGTTAAAATATTTCTCTTCCCGTGCTAGATTTAACAATTAATTGTGGAGCATGTGTTTCGGCAGTGCCCACTGAAGGTTGATGTGATCTATTTTATGGTTAATGTTTCACACGTTACCTCGTTCCCCATTGCTCTGCCCGACACTAACATTACGAAAGGAATAACGAGGAATGACCATTCATCGCGTCATCTCGGAAATAAATTAGCGAAACAATTTTGTAGTCATGGTCTTAATTCGTTTTTGCATTCGTGAGGAAGGTGCCTGCGTCGTGCGACAGCAGCAGTGCGGTGTCGTCGATCCGTCCGTCCTGCCCTCGCCTCGTTTCCCTCATGCGATTTCTTTGACCGGATGTGTCAAAGCGTTGTCTGCTAGCGGCGATGCCCGCCCGAAACTTCTGTTTGGTCAGATTCCCAACACTGGCAAAGCACTGCAGGAGCCCGACCCCTGCCAATGCCGTATCCCCCCCCTCAGTGTGGATTTGTCATCATGCGGAATAGCGTAGCGTTGCAGGTGCAGCAGCTCCTCTTTGGCCCCTATGCATTGGTCCTTGTTTCACTGTTGCCTGTTGGGATGGCCACAATTTCTCCTCTTACTAATCGAGAGTGGTGGTGGCTCGGACACCCGAGCGTGGAGCTGACACCGCTGAGACAGAGGTTCCGGTCCAGATAGCCGTCTGTGATGAAAACTGGGTTCTCAAGTATAGTGAGTTTAAGGTATCAGCCCTTGGTCACCGATTACTCCACCAAAGAAAAATCATCACTGAGCCACCCACCACCTCTCAATGTTTTTTTTATGACTGCTATTTATATTGTTCAAGAAAGCGATCTGCACTAGTGTCAGGTCAAACTTTTCTATCCATCGAGTGACGTCCGAGACCGGCCTGCTTTTCCCATACGACCAAATATTGCAAGGTGCTTGGTGAATTCGGTTTGCGAGTGGGTTGGCGAATAAAGATGAGCGTTTGACCAACTCGGGTGAGAGGCTGCGGCGATAGCGAGCTCGCTACTGCGATCGTTCGTACACTTTTAACCTTTTCATGTTCCGAGAGGACTGCAAGTTGCAGGGTGGTTTCCGGTCACCGCTGAATCTCGGAACGCATGAGCGGTTCGGCGTTAATTTTATTTAGAGAGGAGTAGTGCCGTTTTTAAAGGCATTGTACTCACCGCAGAGAACTGTAGCGACGCAACCGCACTCTTCGATAGCCGGTGCCAAACTGTGCCACATGCCGTCCGACATGGCTTTGTATGTACCAATAATGATATCTTATTTTTTTTCTGACGTACATGTACGTCATCAGAATGGCAAATGATTAATTCGTGGCTCTCGCCTGTCCTGGTTTTTGATGTAGCCGCTCTCCTTGAAAATCCATTGTCTTCTCTGGGCTTTATTTGTTAATTCTATTATAATAAGACTACTACTACACCACTCCGGACAAAGCATTTCCATGAGGGTCACAACGTTTCACGCAGACCAACCTGGATACGTTCATCTTGTGATCAAGTTGAAGACGATACCGGTACCAGAACACCGGTGCCGTTTCCCACAATGGGTAACACGAATTTTGAGTCTCTGGGCCTCTGTGCTCCGCAGCTGTGATATAAAATAATAATCTCGCTGTCGAGTTAGATTTGGGATCTGTGAAGTTCTGCTAAATGTGGTAATAAAGTTTCCAAATTGGCAGAACATTTCTTTGAGGTTTTTTTTCCAAAGTTTGTACCGATTTTCAAAACGACCATTGTGACGACACGAAGCAGAGGCCCCCTTCAGTGTAAGGACTCTGTGGATGTTACCGCCACGACCTTCAGCCAGGGCCTGCGATATCCAAACCAATTCCAGATGCTCCCTTCACTTCACCCACACTGGCCTCATCTAGCAATGGATTGACAAAACTGTCATTTATAACAATTATTATGGGGCATATATATAAACCACATCAAACGTATAACGGTGCACCATTACTGGAGTGGCAATGCCAGCAGCCTTGGATCACCCGCCACGGCGAATCATCGGATCATCACCAGAGCAGACGTAAATAAATCATTCAACATATTACAGGGACTCCTCTACTTACGAACGAGTTAGGTTCCAGAGGTCTGTTCGTTAGTCGATTTGTTCGTAAGTCCAATTTTGCTGTCGATTCCAAACATGTACAGCATGTACGCTAAACACGGGGAATGGCTCTAAAAGTTGTATAATCTCCTGTAGATGCCACTGGTTCTTCACGTTCTGCAGATGTAGATGCCACCACCGCCATCTATTGCGTGGCGGTTGAACTTACGACTCGGTCCGAACAGACAACTGGACATACGGACAGGTTTGTTCATATCTCTGAAAGTTCTTAAGTCGAATGTTCGTAAGTAGAGGAGTCCCTAAACGAGCATTTAAAAAAAAATTCCAGATCGTTATTTTGTCATGAAAAAAAAGTTTCGTGTTTCACAGGTGCAGTGTCTAAATAATAAAAATGGTGTCCATCGTGTGACGTAAACTAAACCGAGACATCTTTAGATGATAGCTTCGGTGACGTACAAGCTATCTCTGACGTTGGGTGTAAGTGGATGGTGATGTGGCCTCGCGGTAGCGCCTTTGCCCCTTGTTGCAAGAGATTTATGGTTGGAATGTAGTGGCCACCCTGGTCAATACTGCGAGTGTATTAACCGTGAAAAATACAAGCCATCTGCTTCACACTGGACGTTAAAAATCCCGTGAACTCATTTGCAAGAATAGGCCATTGTGTGCCGGTGTCATGGTCCAAATATGAATTTTTTTTTGAAAATTACCCAATTGGAAAATCTTTGCATGGCCATGCTCAATGAGGGCGAGTGTCGGTGAACATGGGTTGCAGGACAAATAGGTTCTATGGTGGCACTTCCATATTGCCATTGAGCCCACCGTGTGTGCGTGTACAGAACACGGTTGTAGGATATGGGAAGAACTGTGTGCACAATGCTCCATATATATGCCTACCTCTTCGCATCTAAATTTACCCATATCGGCAATATATCTACAGGGGCTCTCTGGAGCTCCCTCTAGCGGAGGCTCTTTGCGCCAGCAGTCTCAGGTCTGTACCTTCACAATTTTACTTCCGTTGACAATTATCTACGTTACCATTTCTAAACCCACGATTGGGGTCGCAACCGTTCGCACTGTAGGCCAAAGGCGGACAGATTTCTCAATCGGCACTCGGTTTAAAAAGTAAGTTCAAAACGATGCCACCAGAATCTCGCAACAAATCGATCCGTGCCATCCCGAACGATGCCCCGGCTGCTTGAGTGAAACCCGGCCAGGTGGTAGCCCTGCCCCGAGAGTAACGCATACGCTTCACAAACACCAAATATAACTCAACTTTTTATTTGACCAGGTAAGGCCCGCTGAGCTATATAGCTCTTTTTCAGAAGCGACTAGGCCACAAATGATAGATAGCTCTACGAAGTGGCTTATGTGGAAATTTATAGCAGTAAAATACTCTAAACGCATGTTTCTAAATGTGGAGGGAAAAACGAGAGGACCCGGAGAAAAATCCATGCGACCACGGGGAGAGAGAGAGACACACAAGCTCCAAATATACAGCAGGCGTTTGGGTCGGGTTCGAACCCACGACGTCCTGCACACCAGGCGAGGGAGATAACATCTCCTAGCCACCGCGGCGCCCCAGCATTCGCGTGTGAGCTAGGTGTCCGCGTTCAGCAACTGTGAAGGCTCTCCTGTGCTGGGTCCACGGGCCCTGCAAGTTCCGCTGAAGGGGACCCCGTGCCGGGCCTGGGCCGGAACGCGAAGGCGTGCGCGTCGCAGCGTTTCACAGTGAGCAGCATCACCAGCAGCACGAGAAGCGAGAAGCCCAGCAGCCCTCCCAGGACGGCAGACATGGCAGCTTCGGTCCCGTCCCCTGTTGGCAGCAAGCGTGAAATGGCACGGCACGTACGACGGTGTCGTGAGCACACGGTGCATCACCCCGCACTGCGGGCTCGTCAAGCCAAAAGTGTCTGCCTGCACAAATGCGCATTGAGGAGGTGCTGATCTCCTATATACAGCCCTGAGCCAGTGGTGGAAGTTCCACGTTCCTATGGTGGGGCCGAGTCTAGCCATAGGTCAATCACTGTTGACTTTGTCACAAATTATGGAATTGTGGAATGCTTTGATGTGTGCCAGCCGAGTCGCTCTTGACAAAGAGCTTTTTTGCGCGATGAGTTTTACTCGGGAAACACATTTCTGATTCTGATAGTGGTACTCGTTTTATTGAACTCAGCGGGGTGATGGGGCTGAGTCAAACCTCAGCCAGGATTTGAACTTGCGACATTCCGATTGCGAGAGCTGCTCGCTCTGCCACCGAGCCAACAACCACGTTATCTGTTGGCTCCCACGGCACAGTGCGGGAGCCAACATCTGACGTTGTTTATTCCAAGGCCGTAATGATAACATATATTGGGGGGGGTGGGGACACATCCCCCCCAATATATATAAATACGCTCAAAATGTCCCCCCCCAATATATTGCTTTAAAATAGATTTCTGTTTATATGATTGTGGTTATGGTTGTACTTTATTTATCCCTAATCTCAAACATTACATACAATGAAACAATAAAAGGTTGGAAGACAAAAAACAGAGCAATGTAATACAATACACCATTAGACATTGTAAAAAATAAATAAAAAGTCCATCCTATGTGTTAGTGATGTTTTGAATATTTTAGGCAGGAAATGAGTTTTCAAGTAAAGATTTTTTTCTGGGGGGGGGGGGGGGACCCCCAGACCCCCTGGTAGATTTGGTCCCCCCTAATGTTGACTCCATGGCTACGGCCTTGGTTTATTCTGTTAGGTTTTAAAAGGTATCGGAAGCTGAGCGCAATGCGTAGTTATATTATTTGGGTCTTTCGGTAAAGTCACGTAGATATCTTATGGAAAGATCCAAAGAATATGAATTCCTGCAGTCACAAAAGCTTTCAGTCAAGATTGAATGTGTAGTTCGCCAACAGCAAATACTGACGATTCCTACATTGTTTTATCCGTACATTCTCTTCAAGAATTACATTTATTCTGTTTGTCAAAATTTCCCATTTATTTTCCTTGAACGTTTAAAAAAATGTGTGTGTTGACCTTGTCTACTACGCAAGGAACAGCCAATATTAATGCGAGTGACACTTTGACCTGAGACCAACTCAACCTGGACGCGTCCAATCACGTCAGATCTCGGCATCTCAGCAGAGCCGAGCCTGTA